GGTGCTTCAGAAAAATTGAAATTGAAGACAGTGGCTGGTAAACCAGTGGCAGCTATCACCACCGCCAGTTTCCCTCTACAATTTGATGTGTGTAGGAAAATCTTAGGAGTTGCAGCCATGCCCTGCTTCTGAAACTACAGAATGCCATAGCAAAACAACATCACCGACCAAACATCTGAATCGCCACTGACATCCATTAAGCATTCATCATCAATCACCATTAATCCCCATTAAGAAAAAAAAACACATCCACAGACTGGCATTCGCTGGTTCACCCCGTCCCCGTCCCGAGCACTACCCAGCTGGCCGAGGCGCCAAAATGCAAAGCCTTCCCGAAACTCCTCCAGGCCTGAGCCAACAGGGAAGTTATCAGATTTTAGATCATCTAAGATCATCTAAGATCATCTAAGAAGTTGATTGTTTCCGAAGTTCCTAACTTTGGATCGAAAGTGGAACTCTGCATTTTGTTGTTGCGCAACATGTCTTGAACACGGCTCCTATCTGTAAGATTCTGTAAGTGTATACGACTGCCAAGTGGCTGATGCTCTTGTCACGGTTTGCATCGTGCCAAGCGAGTGCGCTGGAGGGAGAGGGAAGACCTTGGAGTTCGCTGGAGGGAGAGGGAAGACCTTGGAGTTCCTCCGAGGTCCTTAGCGATGTCGTATTCAGCATCTGACATGGCCACATGGCCGTTATTTTGGCAGTGACGACCAATCAACAAAGATCAACAAAGATCAACAAAGTACAGCAGTTGGGTGCTTGGACAAAGACAAAAATTGGATGGAAACCTTGATCCTTGTTGGAAGCTGTGAAGAAGCACGAATTTCCGCCGTGTATGTAGGTAGTGATTGGGTCAGGCTTGCAACCAATCCCATCATATCCGTTGTGGATAAGATTTAAGCAATATTGCCCCTATTTGAAACCACCAAAAAGTGTGGTTCTTATATGGTGATCTTCAGGTCTTGTTGGAGATTTCTGGGTCAATCTCCAAATCACGGATCTGTGCCATATCCATTCTCCCAAGGTGGTGGCAAGATGTGGCAAGTGTCACAGAACCGCTGCGATCTTTGTCCAGTTTCTGGAAATGTTTCTCCAGATCTTTGTTCTGCCTGATGGGGCGTAACCAATGTAACCAGAAAACAGCTGCCGTGCCAGGGACAGGAACGCTGACGCTGCTTTCTTGTTTGATATCCACCTGATGGACCAGTCAGGATCAATAAAAACACATTAAAAAAAGTCAGCCATTCTCATTCATGTTTGGTCTCGTCAGGAAGATCACTTGCTGCCTTTCCAATACCAGTCGCACTTTGTTTTTGATGTTGTTCAGTGTAAGGTTGTAGTCATCTCATCCAATTCGCTTAAGTATACAGAGGCCGAAAGAACATCAAAGACCCCCAAACTCTACCGTTATACCTTTACATAGTTGATTTTATCATATGGCTATTGGTCAAAACCCTGGCACCTAGTGAACCCCAAAATAGCTGGTAAATGGATGTTCATCCCATTAGAATTGATAATAATAGGTTTTGACCCACCCCCATATAGCCATCAATAGCCAAACTGGACTCTGGACGGCGCGCGTTTCGGCCTGGCTTTTTCGTAGCTCTCCCCCGTACCCTTCTCATCGCCCGCCATTCCGAGCCGTGCCCAGTCACGGATGATCACCTGAAGTGTCAACGCATTTCCCATATGCTCCATGGTGCTGGTATATTTACCTACATTTGGGTGATTTATGGGGTAAATGTTGGTAAATATTCCAGCACCATGGAGCATATGGGTTTTGAGGTGGAATCCCACTCCGGAAGTGTCATCCAAATCATCCCATCCCATGGCGTTTTTGGAGATCTGATGGACCTTTTCACCCGTGAAAAGGCAGTGAAAAGGGGTAAACCGGGATCTCTCGATCAGCTCAGAAACCCAGGACTCCCCAATGTCAGCGGTAAAGCGGACTCGCGGGAAGAAGGTCCTTGCACGGCACAACCGAGATTTCTCTCCGTGCCGGCTCCGTACCGAAGATGTTTGGAAACGCATTCGGTGGTTGATTCTGCCACAAAGATCACACTTAAATCAGATTTATGTATATTTATGCTATGTATTTATATGTATTTCATTAGATTGTCTATGTGTTTTTATGATTCATGAAAATGGATCCATTCAAGTGTCCTACAATGTGGGGCCCCCCAGTTATAAGTTGGTTTAGATTCACCCCATTAACTATATATAGTTATAAGTACATATAAGTAACATAAATCATATATAGTTATTGGAGTTCTGTTCACCAACTTAGCTATCTTGGGAGCCCCACATTGTACGTGCTATCAATGAATCCCTGGATCCCACCTGTAAAAGATGGCAGCGTACCTGCGCCGCAGCCAACACATCTAGATGGGACTAGCATTGACAACTAGAAAACATCACATATACCATCATGGTTATTTAACATAGCCATGGTATAGATGGCCCATAGAAATAGATGGTTTACCTATTAAAAATGGTGAGATTCCATGGCTATGTTAAATAACCAGAGGGTATATATATATATATATACATATATGTCCCATGAAAGTCAGCACGCAGTCCCCGGGCACGGTTCGTTGAACTGAAAGGTGACAGAGGCAGCACATGCCTCACCCACGTTCTTCGTCTCGTGAACCTCATCAGCCGTGTCATCCGTGTCATCCGTCTCATCCGTTTGGTCTGTGCCCTGATATGACCAAACATGAACCGAATTTTGAAAAGAAACCTGGAAAGAATAAAACGATTCTATCTGAATCTATCCCATCTCTGCCACTGAGTCACTGCTAGGCCTTGCAGGAACGACCATTCAAAACCAATCCCAGGGTCTTCACCCCCCCTCGACCTTCCCTGTCAAGCCGTCAAGGCACCATGCCCGGAGGAAAGAAAAGCCCGTCTCCAGGCTGTAGAGTGATGTCAAACAATGGCGTCCAACCTGCGAATTTGGGCCCCAAAACTTCGATTTTTTGAAAAAAAAACCATGGATCGATCCAAAGCTTCTCGGACATATATGCCATACATGCCATATCATCAAGATCCGTTAACATCTTTAAAAAAATCTTAGGTCTACCATCTTCATATATAACATGTATATAATATGTATCTTTCTATATCATATATCCCATTACATTAAATTTAAACATGATCACCGGGTTGTTTTGATGCGTAGCCAGGCCTTCGGGATTCTCATATGGCTGGCCATCAGCATAAATCCTGAGCGTTTCAAGAGCACTGGGCTGGAAAAAAATCCCCCACGCATGATGCTAATCCCCAATATATGAAATAAAGATCCTTTCATTAATACTATAATCATGCATCATGCTATATTATATTATATATATACATTGATTATATACAGTATGTATTTATAATAATCATGTTTTTTGCCCATGAACTTCATCAAGATTCATCAACTGCTCCACCTTTAGCTCCAAGCCGCATGGCCAAGAAAGGTGCTTGGCGTTGTCGCAAGGGCATCAATCGCCATCGCTTGGTTCCAGAAATTTGTACCGAGAGCGTGGCTTGCACGTGGGAGTCCTGAGGGAAATATAGGGAACTTTTTCAAGATCCTGAAAGGACCTAAAGGAGAAACTCGCTCTGGCCTATTGAAAGCGGTTTCCTGGAAACTCTTCAAAATCAGAATTGGTTGGTGGTATACCTACCCCTCTGAAAAATATGAGTCAATGGGAAGGATGACATCCCATAGATTATGAAAAATAAAAGCCATGTTGCAAACCACCAACCAGAGAATTCTCTTGAAGGGATTGATTCACTGTTCCGAAACGGTGATTGGACAACTCCTGTTGCGCTGGGAAGATTTCTGCCCAGTCTCCATATGCGCTTTGGCACCTGCACTCCCCGAACCGAACCTCAGGCTCATCTTTAGGCCAAGCATGGCCAGCAGAAATCATTAGATATCTCAAAATCCTGGGTGAAACAATGTGAAACATGGCCCATTGATGGTAAAAAGAAACTTGGGTTATTCGACCAGGCATGATGATTCAGATGATGCAGAAAATCAGAAAAACATGCTGCCTTCAAAACGCGTGCATGTAACCCAACGTTCCATCTAACCAGGATAGCCGTCTCTCCAACATACATTTGCCATACACGTTTCAGAAACTTTCAGAAACTTTCCATCATTTGAATTTGTCTGACAATAGGGTATGCCATGGTATACCAGTATACCGCTAAACCCAAAAATTGCCCGTTTCAGAAAAATGTCATCAGCCATCAGATGGCTGGGGGCACCTTATTTTCAACCACACCCATGTGAACATGTTTAAACACCTGACCATCTGGCAGTGTGTCAAAACCTTGTGCCCCTGGTGAACATCAAAATAGCTGGTAAATGGATGTTCATCCCACTAAAAATGCTATTAATAGGTATTGATCCATACCCATCTAGAGTGACAAGCCAGCAAGTGTTGATGACCAGTGGCCAAAACTCGGGTGTCGAAGCAAAATCACTTGCCGCAGCAGGATCCATAAATGCAGGCACCTGTGATAGCGGGTTGGCTCAGATATGGATCTTGAAATGTCTTCAAAGGTGATGAAAGAACTATCATGTCGCCACCCATACAGGCCCATACAGGCCTATACAGATCAATTCGAAGCTTAGTCTGGCTGAGTGCAAGCTACACACTGTCATTTCTTGTCAGTGAGCCGCAGCGTATCAGACACAAAAATGTCAGGCCTTGTAGCTTTTGGAGACGCGTTTCAGCATTGCTCTTGTCCAACCCGGACGCTTCTCAAACTGCACATCCTGCACGAATGTAGGACTCATTGACTCATCGCTGAAATGCAGCAAACGCAGGCGATGGGCAAAATGACCATCTGATTGATCAAGTACAGGAAGTGAATTACGATGAATTGCGCGATGAAAGTCCAATTTTCCACATAGATATATCATCAAAATTATCAAGCTACCTTTTTCAAATGTCCCAGCCACTAATTCCGAATTCCAGTGATCACTGCGGAAAACTAGCCACTACTCAGGCCAAACAATCGACCAGTTCAAGTAACAAAGGTTGGGGCTGTGGTGACACTCCTGCACTACAAATTGCTGGGAAACCCCAACCGCTCCAGTACTCAGTTACTCTCCAGTGAAACCAGGCTGTTGGTGACTTCTAACTCGAACTTCATTTCATATCATTTCATCAATTTCAAGTTGAGTTCGTAGACATTTCCAATCATTGAGAAACAAAGAAGTGTCTACATATTCAGAGTTCTAGTTGAAATTTCATACAATTTCCATCAAACTAACTATGTCATTGTGGCCTTTTTTATGCGATTCCAGCAGTCTTTTCCCCAGCATTTGATGCTGCGGCAGTCCTTGATGCCCCAGTAAAATGGTGCAACTTGCGGAGCGGTGTCATTCTTTGCACCTGCAGTGCTGGGATGACCTTTTGGTGGACCTGGAAAGATTGGAAAGGACGGCGCTATGTGTCACCGTGAGGGAACTGGAAAGAACTATGGTTAATAATATATATATAGGGATTATAATGGGATAATCATGAATAATGGGATTATATCTATAATAGTGGTTATAATACCTATATAATACCTAGATAGATAACTGGTTGGTGGTGCAATAACCATCTTGAAAAATGATGGAGGTCGTCAGTTGGGATGATGACATTCCCAATATATATGGAAAATAAAAAATGTTCCAAACCACCAACCAGATGAAGAATTGATAAGAATTGTCATGTCATGCAAATTACAAAGAAAGGATAGATCCAAAAGCAGCAATGAAAAATCTCTGAGCACTCCATCAGCAACACCCTGACACCGACCCGTTGAACGAGCAGAAAGCCGTCTCATTGTGACTAACGCAGTTATGCATGCCGTGGTCAAAAAACACCAGTGATTGAAGTGCTAAGAAGGAAGAATACGGAGGAAGAATCATGGAAATTCACCAAAGATTCGGTACCTACCAGCCATGTGTACCCTGTGATGCACACAGATTTGCGTGATTTGGAGGGTGGGTGATGCAAGTAAGCACACATGGCACCGTGGCACCGCTAGCAGTGCGGTCGTTCTGCCAATCGTCCCCCAACTTTTTGTCCTTGCCCTGGACCGCCGTGTATTGATGATTCATTGCCTCGGGTGCCCGACTCCTTGTGGGGAGTCTTTCAACCCATCAAAAAAACCTGAAAGTCACAAGCACGGGTTGAAATTCAGGACGCATCTATAGTTCTTTCTATGGGCGCAAATACTGTGATTGTTGTCCTGTATCCCAGAATTTCATTTGTGCTGTCCCAATCTGTAAGGCCGTGACCGCATTTTTGAATTCTGGATCGGTTTGAAAGAAATCACCTGAGCACTTGCACGACCAAGGGATATCAGCTCGGGCATTGCTGGTTTCCCTTGAAGTGAGACCCAGTAAACTCCACTCTGATTCTCAACTCACCAAAAATAGGGTATGGCATTATGGCATGGTATGGCACCAAGTAGAATATACAGATACTATGTTTTGATGGGAATTTCTTCTGTAAAAACTCTGGAAGCTTCGGCCCATTCTGATCATTCTGCATCTGCCGTGAACATCCATGAACGGCCAACTGCGAGGGACAATCCCAATCCTTCAGTTGCCAATCGTTGGAAATGCCCGGCACCACAAAGACCTGTCGAGTTCTTCGAAGTTCCAAGTTCTAGAGGACCTCCAAAATCCCATAGTTAATAAATGTTAATGATATCATGGGATATCATTATTAACGAAAGGAACACAAATGGTGAATTAATGTTAATGATATCATTAAATATCATTAATGATCCCATATCATGTTCCTTTCTTGGCCATTTATGTTTTCTGTTTCTTCAGAAACGATAGGAACACATTAGAATCAAACAGTTTCAATCGGAATATGCCTCGCACCGATATCACCGATGCCATGTGGAGACATGAGTCGGTTCCAATCCGTCACAGCACTTGCTTTCCACACGTATCCTTGCCACATCTTGCCACGTGTCAAAAGGAACTCCATGGTTTTGCAAAACCTGGAAGATCCTGGAAGGAACCGACACAACTTTGGCCAGAAAAAAAGTGACGTTTCTCGAGCTTAAGAACTGCCTACTTCGTGGGTTTCCAGATGTTTCCAGTGTCACACCTTGCCATCCAGGATCAGCTCATCGAATTGGGCACCTGAGAGTGAGGAAAATGGAGACAATGGTGAATATAACCAACCATTTAGAGGACAGTTTCATGAGAGGTAGATTTGCTATATGAGAAAATTATAGTAAAATTATACAGTAATTAGATGTAATTAGTGATAGAATTAAGAAGCACATGTTTTCTTCTTCACAAGGCACAGTGGCAAAGCCTGGTTGGAAGCGCAATGTTTTTGTAGATGTTCAATAGATGTTCATCCCCAAAGCCACTTAGTGTTACACCCTATAGGCCCTAGATTCCATCAGTCCCATCACCCTGTACTCCAAGTACAGCACGAGTCAAATGTGGAAAGCGAGGAGCATCAAAGGGAGGGACCGCATCAGGCCTTGTCAAAGCGCGGCCAAAGGACAAGATGGACAAGATGGACAAGGACAAGGAGCCATGTTCATCCATTTCATTCAATTTCATTCCATTTCATTCCATTTCATTCCATTTTATTCCATGTCATTCCATTTCCCCAGTGTTTGAGTGTTTTTTTTTAAATGTTTTTTTTTAGTATCTTACATTGTCAAAGAAACCTTCGTCAATTGCCATCAATCTCAGTCTCCGGATCTACGATCTCCACTGACCGATTGAGAGCAACAAACCAATCAGCCACTTCCATAGAAACCTTTGAAGGAACCCGTTGCCTGCATGATCTTATGTCAAAAACCTCATGTCAGATGGATTCAGACCACGTCGCTATAGAATCTATAGAGGAGATTCGGATTCCACACACCTTTCTCGAACCTCATTGCCTCCACAGACCCAGTGATTTCCAGGAATCATTGCTGTTACTGTTCAGCTACTCCCTGGCGATCGTGGTGAATATTGCTGCCCTTGAATTCTAGAAGGCATTAACCTATAACAGTTACACTGCGGTCATTAACATGATTTGCGACACTGAAGCTCAGGCTCCAAAAAAAACAAAACCCTGTTGCTTCGTGCTCCCTTGAACAGAACTGAAAGGTCAGCTGAGCAGTGTTTTTGTTGTTTGGGCCTTCAAACGAGTTTGCCTACGCCACCACAATGACAGCTTACGCGGACATAGCTGTAATGAACACGCCCACGCGAAGCCTTCCGCACAAAACACCTGTGCAGGGCCTACGCAAGGCAAACGCGGCCTAGGGACCTAAAATGACCTAAAAGCATACGCGCAGCAAAACACAGTTCAAGTGTTGTGCAAATCCTTTCATGTGTACGAGTAGGAAACATGTCAAGTAAGATACTCCTCACAAAATGCATTTCCGAAACATCTGCCAAAGTCCATTGAACCACCTGCATTAGAGAACAGCCCTTTGCATGTCGAAAATAGCAGCAACGCACTCGCGTGCCAAGCTGCGTAGGCGCCCAATATCTCGACTCCTGCAGTTGGGGGGAACCATTTCAATGGGTCAATTTAATAGGCGATCTGCTGCTTCAAGCTGTGAAAAAAAACATCCTGGACAAAATTTCCCTAACAAATAATCACACATGGCTTAGTTGAACTTCCACCAGTTTTCTCTTGCTGGCCTATTTCTCAGTACCCAGAATAACCTAAACTCTGGTCTGATTCGAAGCGGAACCAGGGCTCGAAACCTAGATCTTGATGACTCCAAAGTCGAGAAAACTCACATCCGCCAGCTGCATCAGTTATTTGTTGTAAGACCCTGCCATCCTTCCTCTTCATAAAGCATGGTTCC